CTGATATAGAACCAATAGGTTCTGATGGTGCCATATTGCTCTTTATGTTGTTGACTGTATTTTTGCACTGGCATCTACCCATCTCATCCTCCACTCAGTGCAAGCAGTGTCTGTGTCTGAGGGAGCCCTTCTTATCTGGTGGGTACCCTTGGTCCAATGAGAGTTCTTGGTCTAATCAGGGCCCTTGGTCCAATCGGTGCTGATGGATTCTGTGTCTCAGGGATCAGCTCTTAGTCCAATTGACACTGGCAGGTTCTCTTCATCCAACCAGTGCTAGAGAGCTCTGTCTCAGTGAGCAGCTACAGTCTCAGAGGGTTTGGGGGAGGTGGGGCTTGTGGGTTACAGTGTCTGGTGGGGGATGGTGGTAGTCTGACCTGCCAGCAGGATACCTGCCTGCTGTCCTGAAACTGGGGTTGCAGAGGATGGTGGTGTATGGGTGCAGGGTTGTGCCCTTGGGCCCAAAGCCTAGAGGCTGGGGTGTTTGGCTATGAGAACAAAGACTCACCTCTTAGTACAATCAGTGCTGGTGGGCTCTCTGTTGCCTGACTTCTATGTCTAATTTAGTGGCTGTTCTGTTCTCTGATCCCCAGGAAAGTTTACTAGGGTACACTATTAGGGTACACAATATATTGAGGTGTACACTATATCACCACATTTCCCCTTTTTCGTTGTTAGTTCTGATAGGTTGGCCTTCTGAACTCTAGTTGTCACTGATGTACACTCCCATGGACTTTTACTACCAGCAACTCTCAATAATCTGGGGCTATTCTTCTGATGGACTTTGTTATACCACCTCATCACTTTATCAAAGTGATATGCCAGTAAAAGACTTTGTGAACAGAATTCTAATGGTCCAGGCATAAGACAAATAATTAATAAATGTGACATCATAAAAGCAAAGGATTCTGAACAGCGAAGGCTGTCCATGGAATGAGAAAAAATTTTCTACCAGCTTTACATCTGACAGAGAGTTACTATCTAGAATATTCAAGCAGCTTTAGAGAAAGAAAAATACTCCCCCAAAAGGAAGGAAATGAACAACTCATAAAAAGAAAGAAAACAACTGAAAAAAAACCTTAGCCACACAATTTAAAAATTCTTTGAGATTTTTATCTCACCCAAGTCAGAGTGATTAATGCAAAACAAAACAAAAACAACAATGAAACCCAGCAGCAACAAATGCTGAGTTGGATGTGGGAAAAGGGAACACTTATTCATTGCCAGCAGGAGTGCAAACTGGAGTAATGACTGTAAATATCAGTGTGGAGTTCCTCAGAAAGCTAAAAATAATGTCTGCCACACGATCAAGCTGTACCTCTCTTGGGCATTTACGCAAAGGACTCTGTATCCTAATATAGAGACACATGCTCATCCATGTTCGTTGATGCTCTGCTCACCGTAACCAGGAGAAGGAAAAAACCTAGATGCCCATAGCTGATGAATGAATAATAAAAAAAATATATTTACACAATGGAATATCATTTAGCTGTTAAGAAAGATGAAATTATGTAATTTGTAGGTAAATGAATGGGCAGAAAACATTCATTCTGAATGAGATAATCCAGAAACAGAAAGACAAATGCTCCAAATTTTTCTCAGTTGTAGATGTTAGCTTTGAATCTTCAGATATGTGTTTGGTTTGTAACACCCAGAGAGGTCAAGAAATTTCTAAGGGGTCAGGAGGAGGGGCTTTCAAAGGAGGAGCAATAGAATGTAATGGTAAAAAGGGTTAAAAGGAAATAATGAAACAGGAAAGGTTATATTGGGGTCAGGGAGAGGAGGGTAGGGTAACCTAAGTAACATAGGGTGAATAAATAATATTAAACATCTTTGGAAAAAGTCATAAGGAAACATATTACCATAGAGAATTTCTAAAATATACCTATGCGCGTGCACGCGCGCGCACACACACACACACACACACACACACACACACACACACACACACACACAAGTTAAAATGGAGTTATCCTATAATAGGGAAACAATGTCCCAACTAGACAGTGCTTGTAACTAAAACCCCAGTGGCAGGAATGTGTTACTTCTTTTTAGTTGTAGGTCTGGTAGAATCCCTAACATCATAGATTATTGCCATCACTCTTGACTACTCTACAGAATGCTCTTCTTAGTTTTAATTTACTTTATTATTTTGGAAAAGTTTCACTGTGCTATTCATTGACATGGTACAATTGCATAGGAAATTTTCATGTACCTACAGAATACACACTGAGCTCATTTCCCACATACTCCCTGACTTTGCCTTTTCTCTCCCCGGTGCCTCCCATCAATCCCTCTTTCCTCTAGAAGATTTTACTTCTATTTTCATGTCCTGTGCAACCAGAGTTTATGCATCTGTCTAAAATCTTAGAACCACAAAGGAGAAACATATGCTGTACTTCATGGTGAGATTTGGTTAATCCAGTTGATATAATATCCTTTCTAGTATACATTTTCCTGCAAATGCCATAACTTTGACTTCTTTATGGGTGAAAAATTCCATTGTACACATATACCACAGTTTGTTTATCCATTCCTCTGCTGTTGGACAACTAGGTTTGTTCTAAAACTTAGCTATTGTGAATTATGCTCCAGATTTTCATAAGACCCTATTGCTGTAGGCTACATATTTGAGTCAGAGGACATTAAAAAATCAAGTTGTCATTGACATAGAAACTTCATTCCTATTGTCTATCTATCATAATGCTGGAAGGTGCTACCAATGCTACCGGAGAAGAAGGGTAATCATTAATCTTATCCAGATCTGAACCCTGGGAGCTACAGTTATGATTGACCTGGCAAGACCTTTCCACTGGTGCAATAGTGGCTGCAATATCATGTCAGCAACCAACAACTTTCTGATTAGATTGAAGTTTTGCTCCATAAAATGAAACACATACCTGAAGCCATTATTGGGCTAAGAAGCCATGGCTAGACAGATCATAGGCCATAGGGGAGAATCTATTACTATTATTGAGTTAAAGGGACATAGTATATTGACTCTTAAAGACTTATCATTAAACCTCTATCAATGTATCAACCTTCTCCTGAGAAGCTTCAATTTACTGTAAATGATGATTAACACCAAGACCCAAAACTAACCAAGGTACAGTGAATAAGCAGAAAGCTTGCCCCTAAATGGGACATATATACCACAACTCCCTTCCCCACAAAGCTCAGGGAACATTGTGGAAGAGGGAACAGAAAGTTTAAGAACCAAATGTGATGGATGACTGTAAGGAAACAGTGTCGTTTGGATAGAGCAGGACACCTGAATATATGGACTCACAGTGGTTGTTACAGAAAGCACAAGCCCAAGTCATACCAAATCCTATCATGGGAGAAACCCTGTTGCTAGTTTCCGACTATTACGAATAACACTTCTATGAACATAGTTGAGCATGAGTCCTTGTGGGATGATTGATATTCCTTTGGGTACATGCCCACGATTCTTCCAGGGAATCTTGTCTCCACTTCATTTTCACTGGCGTGCGATGGAATCTCAAAAATGTTTAAATTTTCATTTCCTTTATGGCTAAGTATTTTGAATACATTTTAACCTATCTATTGGCCATCTGTATTTCATCCTTTGAGAACTCTCTGTTCAGTTCATGAGTCCTGTTGGGAAAGATATTTTTTCCCTATCCTATAAGCTGTCTCTCCATCCTGTTAATTGTTTCTTTTGCTGTTTATACCACATTTTTGAGGATGCTGTTAGCAATCCTTTAGCTAGATAATGTAAAGTGATTAGAAGTTGATCAAGTGTGTTTGCATAATTCTCTGTGGAAGGATTAAACTTCGATGCTTTTGACACATTTTCCTGTGGGACCTACAGTGTAGGTAGTCTGGCTTTCTACCTACTTATAGGTTTGTGCAAGTAATTGCCATTGATCAATATTATAAAAGTAATTTTTGAATGATCACTAAATTACTTATTTGTGTGTGTGTGTGTGTGTGTGTGTGTGTGTGTGTGTGTAGATGGACATGGAAGTTAGGACAATCTGTAGGATGTGTTTCTCTCTTACCATGTTCAGGGATTGCACTCGGTTGGTCACTCTTGTTAGCAAACATCTATCCCTGCCGAGCTTTATCACTAGCCTTGACCACCATATTAAAATAGCAGAGTACATTGCATGCTCAACTACTCTGTGGTCTTGGCTCCAGAATGAGGAAATGTCCAGAAGGATCTAACAGAATTAGTCACCCTTAGGCAGACCCTAAGCACAAATAAAATGTGATTAAAAAGTAAGTGTTTGATGTTGTAAGCCAGTTAGGTACTGGAATGGTTGTTGACACAGTATACATAATTCATGCACAATGTGATTTTCTTCCTAGGGAGAGAGAGGTAACTTTAGAACTCAATTTTGTATAAGGAGTTTGGATGATAGAGACTGTGGAATAAGTGATTATAGTTGGGAGGGTGTGTGTGCTTGAATCACTGGGTTCCTAAACCATATAATGAAGAACTACTAATTCTCTTGTTCTTCTTCTATCCTTTAAAAATAGTATTTTCCCATTCCGTATTAAATAATTCAATTTTGAGTAAAGTATTATAGAAGACAAGGCAGGGTAGGCGTCCATGGTAGGGTGGGGTGTGGGGAAGCAAGGATCTGTCTGTGCAGAGGGCTGGCTTGACAGCAGAATTGGAGCCTAAGCAGTGAGGAGAAATGTGTCTTGAATGGGGAGTGAGTCCACAAGCAGCAACCTGATGTGAGACTTCAGAGCCTGAGAGGTGACAAGGTCAGTTGTGTCTGAGAGTGGGCAGGTGCAGAGCCTCTGAGCTGAAGCAGGGGGAGAAGGCATCCATGCTTGAGGCCACTTCTTGTGGGTGTAAGAACCCTAAATGAGTGAGTGAGTAGAGGGTCCTCAAGGCCAGCCTGGTGTGACACCTCAGCACTTGAAGGAGGTGAGTGTGGGCTCCAGTGCAGTGTTAGCTCCAAGTCAGGTTGAGGTCTGGGGACTCAGCAGATTGAGGGGAAGTTCTTCACAGAGTGTAAACCGGCATGGATTCCAGGAACCAGGCAAGATACAGAATGTGGGAGTGCAAAACACAAGGTGGGAACTCAGTGACTTACAAGAGATTGAGGAAATCCTTGCTGAGGTGTGTAAGAACTGGGCTGTCAGAGCTCAGGCAGGTTAGGCAGGGGGAGGGAGGTTATCCAGGCCTCAGACAGAGCTGTCATGGTTTCCAGAGACTGAACAGGGTAAAGACACTGTCCCCATGAGGTGGGATAGTCTAGGGTGTATACTAGGTATCTTTGTTTTGAAGAACTTTTCTGTCCATGGGGGTGGCTTGAGTGTGGTGTTAAAGCTCTACAGGGAACAGGAAGGAGTAGGAATCACAGCACAAGACTGGAAATGGAGGCTTTATTGTAGAGGTCAGCTCAGACCAAGTGTCAGAATCTCAACTCTGTGAGAAGTTTGACTTCTCTAATGACCTGGTTCCTCTTTTCCATTCCTTCCTGTTTTCTTCTCTCCCACATTGAGTTCTTGGTATTTCTAAGGTGTATAATGATACTGGGTGCATTCTCCTCCTGCAATTCTCCCTTTGGAGTACGACCTCATGGTGTATCCTCAGGGCAGCTGTCTGGTACGGCCTCTCATCTCTATCTGGTATTGTGATAATTTGTTTCTTGTTCAGGACCTGTTTTAAAGAAGGAATGGCACACATCTTCTGAGGCCAGGGGAAGATTTCTTCTCAACACGTTTTCAGAAAACATTTATATTAACAAGAACCTCAAAAATAAATTTGATTCCTCCGACATGGAAGCAGACTCTCCTCCAGGTAAGAAAGCATTTTCTGCTGCTCCTAGTGAGTGATGATGTAAAGGACAAAGACGCTGGCCATACCTCTGGGTCACTGGAGTCTCAACCAAGTGGGTTGCCTGTAGACAGATGTGAAAGGTTGTGGGATTGTACAATGGAGAAGGAAGGTGTTGTCTTCTACCATCTAGAGTAAATCCCACCATACATGTTATTGTATCTTTTCTACATATAAACACACATTTATATGTGTAACAAATTGTTTCAAAGTTAATCCATGTCATACTGATTTCCCCCTCCATCTGTTGACATGTCATAGTCTGTTGGCATCCAGTTGTTGAGTATATTCTTCATTCTCTCCCTCCTGTGATGGGGACAGAACCGAGGACCTCACCCATGGTTGGGAAGTATTGTAACTCTTTTACAAGTTGTAACTAAAAATGTGGCGACTTTATCATAAAATGTGACTTCTTGACTATTGCATATTTGAAGTTGGAAGCAAGATGAAAGTCTTTAAAAGCATATAATAAATACTATGCAATCATAATAAAACTGATAAAGAAGACATGATGACATAGAATAATGTTCATTGAGATGTGCTGGCACAAGTCTGTAGTCACAAAACTCAGGAGTTAGAAACATGGTGTTTCCTGTGAGTTTGAGGCCCGCTTGGACTACATAATGCATTCAAAGTCTGCCTGGTGTACATACCAAGACCCTGTCTCAAAAATAAAAGAAAAAAATCATAAAGGAAAAAATCGTGATAAAATGTAAAAAAATGATGGTTACAAATCAGTGTTTATGATGTTCAAATTGTGGAAAGTATACATTTATATGTAAAGGCTTTAAACTTGATGGAATTATTTTGCCGAAATACTGACAACAATCATTCTCAGTGTCAGGAATGAGTGATTTTGTGCATATTATAATGCTTCTGTAATTAACCTGATATTTTCTGTTTTCATTTTCCTATTATCTTGAACATCATGTTTTAGTGTTAATCATGCACAAAAAGAGTAGAATAGGAGAAAGAAGAGGAAATAGGAACAGAGCTGAAGACATGAATTTGGTTTGTCTTTCAGCTCCTCAAAAGAAGACCATGAGTCTAGACAGTTTTCACAGATTCTCCAAGTTGCTCCTCACCTCAATCATAATACTTTTACTGCTGTTGAAAATCTTACTCTCCATTGCTCTGATCAGTAAGTATGCCCCTGGGAGAAGTAAACAAAGAAAAGGAAAGGGACCCATTAGATGGTGATCCAGAAACCTAAGACAGACACTTTCTGGAGAGATGGATGACATTGGGAATTTCTCTCTATTTCAGAATAACTCTTCTGTAAAAGTCATTCATTCTCACTAGAGAAGCATTTGTGTGTTTGTTGGTGTCACAGAGTGAAATCCTGGGGCATCTGTGTTAATTTCCAGCACTGAGAATGAATCTGTATTTCCTCATTAGCAGCATTTGGATGCATAAACATCTATATTTTTTAATGAGTAGAGGGAATAGAAGACATGGACAGAGCTATTCCAGGGACAGTGCTTCAGTAGACTTCCTTCTAATCATTTATTTTTTGTTCCAGATTGTGTTAGACTTGAATGATAATTTAGAAAATAGTGGATTTCTTTGTTGATTGGCCTCAAGTTTATCAAAAATCGAAAACAATACCCTTTTTTGTATTTGTTATAATCAGTGATTCAATAATTAATAATAACCATTTACTGTATATTGGAGAGCATGTTAGGGTGTCCAGAAAGATCTACAGTCCCAGCCACAGGAAATTTAGAGAACAGTCAAGTGAACCAGTGCTTTAAAAAATTGCATGTGAAATGCTCTACAGATGAGAAGTAAGGAATAAGCACAGAGGGTGAAGAAAAACTTGGAGCAGGTGCCACCTAGACCTGTGTGTGCCAGCAATGTCCTAGACATGTGGGGGCATGGAAAATATAGGCAAATATAAGTACACATTGCTGTCATGTATAGTGCTACATGGAGAACTAAGCATGAAACTGTAGAGAGCAGACAAAACTGGATTCAGATCACAAAATAGTGCATACCATATTACACGTGCATCCCCTCTTAATGTTATTTTATTTACTAGCTGTTGCTCAACCACTAACCAATTTAAAACTTAGTAGGTTAATTGAACTGTTTATTTAATTCTTGCTTGGTGGATTCACAGAGACTGGTCTCTCTTGGGAGATTCCCATGGTCCTACGTGAGCTTACTCATTCTCATGGAGTCATGCATCAGTTCAACTCAGCTTCCCTGGCCACTTCAGAGTTCCTGGACAGATGGTGGCAGTAAGCTAAGCCCACCATGGAGCACACACACATTTGCCTTTGTGTATTTTAGTGGCCAAAGAACTCTTAACGGCAGCTCAGATGAGGTGAAGTAGAAACAGACCAGTTTCCTTGTAGGGAACTGCAAAGGCATAGTTCATATAGGGATGGTTGAGAAGTGTGTCCACTTTTTCAGTGTGTCACAGTCATGGAGATTCACAGATGAATCTGAAGCAGGACATGATAAAATTAAAACTGACTTAGAGAAGTTTGCTTTTACAAAGGTGTGAAAACAAAGGGAAGCAGAAATTAAGATGTTGATTCAGAATCCGTTTGAGCAGCCTAGGGGTTTGATCCAAGGATCATGCTGGTGATGCACAGGAGAGGAGATAAGTTGGACCAAAAGGAGGTGACGTTTTGGTCAATACTGATAGCTGAGAATTAGGGGACACAGGAGTGAGATATGACTTTAATATTCTGATTTCATAAAGTCAGCAATCATGAAGTTATTTGAAGGGGAAGAAGATTGGTAGCAGGTTTGAGTTGGAATATGATGATTTAAGTTTTGTTTATGTTTACCTAAATCTCAGATGCACAGTTTAATGATACATATTAACATGTTTTAGGAAAGAGGTGTACAGTTTAGAAGACCTTTGCTTATAGGCAGCAGATAACAAAAACTGACTAAAAAACAAAACAACCACTTCTACTCCCCACCCCCACCCCCAACAACCCAGGACAATGAATATCACTAAAAAAGAGGAATTTGGAGGAGAAAGAGAGATACAGAAGGAACTGGATGCAATGTTCCATTTTAAGAGAGGTGGGTGTAGAAGGAAACAGGTAGGAAAGAGCACAGGAAACAGCAGGAAACAGGACCAGGCAAAACTGGATGGAGTCACTGTCTCCCAACAGTTAAGGAGGAAGAGAAGCAGGCAGGGTCATGTGAGAAGTCCCACAGGAAGATGACTGATCAGTGGACATGAGGAGCCATTGACATCTAGTTCAGGAATGTTTGGTAAATGAGCAGAAGGGAAAGCCAGAATCTAGTGACTCCAGGAACAAGTGGGAGATGAGGAAGAGAAGAAAGAAAATTCAATTTCTAGAGGAAAGGTGAGTTAGTTTTAAGTTAGGAACTCCATGAAAGTGTGGGGACTCTGAGAAGTCAGAGCTGGGGTGGAGGGAGATACAGGAAAGAAGAGGAGGAAAACAAAGTCCTTTTGATCAGTGTTGGGTTTTTATAACTTCCGTGCTCATGTAACCTGGAACTGCTCTGGATTAGCACATTTCTCCCTCACCTTTCCTGGGGGTGCTCACATACTTAATAGAACTTATCACCTTAGATGTAGTCTTCAGTGTGTCCTTCATGAAATGTTGAAGAGTCCCCAGAGTCACGGTCCTGTCCTGTTTTTCCAGGACAGAAAATATCTTCCTAAAAATATCTGTGGTCATAAATCACCAGGAGCTTTGTAATACTAGCTGTGGGGTGATGGAAAATTGTCTCTTTTTGTGATAAGGTCTTATATAGCCCAGGCTAGCCATGAACTAGCTAGCTAACTAACTAACTAACTAACTACCTACCTACCTACCTAACCAATTAAGTTAACCAACCAGCCAACCTAACTAAACTAACTAACCAACTAAACCAACTTGTATAGTTAAGGTACCTGAAACTTCCATTCTTCCTCATTCTAATTCCCAAGTGTTAGGGCCACAGCATCTACACTCTGTGGTGATGGGGAATCTGTCCCAGGCAGGCTCTAACGACTCAGGCAATTGGACATTTATAGGTTTTGTTTCTACAAAGAATGTAAGAAGGTAAAAGTAAAGAGTTGAGTCTTAGCACTACCAGGAAAATGAATTGTTTTTATTCTGTTTTACAGCTTTGTTTAAAAATCATCCTCAGCTTCTTGATGAAAATGCAATCATAAAAGAACTGAATTACTCTGACTTGGAGTGTACAAAACAGCATTCATTCTTCAAAGGTAAAACTTAATGTGCCTAAAATCAGCATTTCCAACAAGATTCTCGGGTAGATCCATCAGCAATCGGCACTATGGGGACACCACTTCATACCCCACACTCAGTACCAGTTGCCTGTGGAGTCCTTTTTGGAGGTCTCCCATCAGGCGTAATTGGGATGTGTGGCAGCCTACTGTGATACACTCTTAACAACTGAGCCATTTCTGTAGTCCCTCAAGTGTTTTCATAAGTGTGTGTGTGTACATGTGTGTGCACGTGTGAATGCGTGTGTGGTGTGTGTGTTGATCTTGTTGCATTCTCAGTTACAGTGTCTACAAAGTATAATTTACTCAAGATTTGAATAGAGAACTTGTTTTTCTAGTAAACTAAGCTGGAGGGCAGAAGGTGAACACGTATTACATAGATTTAGGAAAGAGTGGGGAGTGCTTAACACTATCCATCACTTTGGTCCCGAGTAAGCGAAGATTCTCGACTGTGTTTGACATCTGTAACTGAGATGTCTTCGGAATACACCATTTGGCCCTAAACAGGCAATTTGTTTACTGTCTTTGTGAACAGACATTTTGGAAAACACATGTTTTCCTAGACCATTCAAGCGTGTCTTAGGTTCCTGCCTTTCTCAGCAGATCTCTCTCTTCACTCACTGGATCCTTTGCTGTAAAGCAGCCTGCAGTCCCATTCAGGGAGTCTTGGCCTATGCCTACATCTTGATCTCTTGTCTTTATTTTTTTCTGTAACAATTTCAGGGTTCCAGGCCTCACAGTAAGGTGTTTAATCCATTTAGAGTCTATTTTGAAGTCAATTTTTACACAGAATGCCTATGGATCTAGCTTCATTCTTCTGCACATCGGTATCTAGTTTTCCCAGCACAGTTTGTTGAAGAGCCTATCTCCTCTGATATGTATTTCTAGTGAAAAGTCCGGTGGCTGTAGCTGTGTAGGTTCATGTTTGTGGTTCTCTTTTGTGTTCATTGATCAATGTGTGTACTTTTGTTGTGGTACCATGCTCTATAGTGTAGCCTGAAGTCAGGTCTGGTGATACCTCCAACATCATTCTTTTTCCTTCAGGATTGCTCTGGCTATCCAGCGTTTTTTGCATTTCTATATGATTTTTGAGATTGTTTTGTTTATTTATCTTATGAGGAATCTCAGAATTTGTATGAGGATTGTATTCCTCTGTAGACATTTAGGGTCTTTACATGAGACTATTTTTCTGTTTCATTTTAGTTTTTCTTCCTTGAGGATTCATGATATCTCTGTTGCCTTTAGAATGCAATATACACCTTGGAATACTTCAAATATATTTTTCAGATATAAAATTTTCATTCAGCTCTTTATATCTTTCTTTGTTGATTTTTTACATATTTATAAAACTTGTTTCTAGAATGTTTTTATTTTCTTCTTGAAACATCTATTATGGACATTTTAAGGTTTTTAGATAAACCTATAGTATTTTTTATCTTGCTTGTTGTAATATTGACTTCCACTTTTATCATCACTAATTAAAAATATCTGTCTGCTAACTCTGAAATTTTGCTGCCTTGGTTAATGGTATCTATTGTTTTCATGTATAAATATGTATATATTTATGTAATATGAGAACATTCTGTTTCTTGGTATGATGAGTTCTATTCTTTGGAGACCCAGACTGTTTGGCATTATGTCCTCAGGGTATGAGTGTCCTTACACTCTGTTTTCCTGACAGCATCCCAGTATGACAAAGGGGCCCTGACATTGGTGTTGACAGCGGAAGACTGGGGTTGCTTGGCACATGACAGAGAGGGGCTCCTTGGTTTTTCTGGAGAAGTCCGGAGCCCCAGCTTCCATGTGGTCTCCACATTAAGCAAGTTTTAAAATGACTTTATGACATTCACTTACATTTCCTTCTTCCCCCAAAGACAAAGTCTGGAGCTGTTGTCCAAAGCATTGGAAGCCATTTAATTACCACTGCTACTTCCCTACGATTGACACTGCATCTTGGAGAGTGAGTCAGGAGACGTGCTCCAGCATGGGTGCTCATCTGATGGTGATCCACAGCCAGGAAGAGCAGGTGCATTCTGGGAGAGAGTGGTGCCTGGTCCTGGCCTGCTCTCTGCCTCTTTTTACCAAGAGGGAGTTGTGTTGACATGGGTGTTGCTGATGTGGCAGAAGGCTTTTTATCAGGAAGCTGGAAAGGTTGCTTCAGCCTTGGCATTCTACACCTTGTCCCTGCTTTAGTGAAGCTAAACAACCCGCAAGGAACCATGGCAACAGAAATGCAACGTCTGAGGGTGGAGAGAAGGGTGAAATGTTTCTGCTTGATAGACCAGTTTGTGATTTCAGCACTCTACTGCTTCCTGTAGTACCCACTGCCTAACAGAGGAGGGCGCAGAGCTGACTAGGGAAAGGGGATCAAATCAGGAGAGTCATAGCCAATCACCAGAAATGAAATATCTGAGGTTATGAATGGAGAATGCTTAAATCTGCTAAATTCTCTCATGCACAATTTTCAAGAATGGTATTGGGGAAGAAAAGAGGGGAGTGAGTCTGAGATGAGAATTCATTATGTTCATGGACAGAGATTGTTTCCAATGTCATGGAAATCAGGCCTCTGAGTGATGACTTTGTGTCCTGGTCAGCCAGAGAACATGGCACTCCTGGGTGTGGGGGTGGCTCTTCTATTCTTTGATCCTTTCTTTGTCTTCTCATCTCTGTGTGACCAGAAAAAATGTCAGTCAATGTATCACAGTGTACCACTAAAATGTATAATTAATGTGTATTAATCTATAATTTTAGAATTATTTAATGGGCTAGAGAGATGAACTAGGATTTGATTATTATGTATTTCCATAGGTGCATCGTACAAAACACTATAATTTTGTGAAGTTAAAATAATTTTTAGAAGATCTTATAAAAATTCAATAACAGGAAAAGAATCACTGCATCCAGGCTGAATACTGTATCTTTCTTTCCTCTTAGGATTTCATCATCAAGATCCTGGATTCTCAAGCTGCTTATTATATTGGGCTTTCAGATCCAGGTCATCGACAGTGGCGATGGATTGATCAGACACCATACAATGAAAGTGCCACGTGAGTCTAGAGTTATCTAGAGGAGTCCTGGGTCCTGTAGCATGAGAAGACTTTAGGGTGTTCTAGCTGTTGGTTATGAAACTAAAACAGCTCACTCCTGGTGTGACTGCTGGGGATTGAGTTACTTTATCCCCATTTGCTCATCAAGGAATCCTGTGAGACACATGTCACCGATACTCCTGGAGAGTTGAGGAAATTGAGTTTGAAGAGTGTAGCATGATAAATACCCAGGTCACCCAACCAAGGTGCTACATCATGGTGAATTTTCTTATGCTTCCATTCTCTCTCTATATTTAACAATAGGATTTATTTTATTTTCATTTGTATGTATATCTTTGTCTCTCTTGAGGGTGTGCCAAGTGTATGTGGGTGCTTAGGGAGCCCAGGAAAGATTGTTGGATTCCCGAGGGCTGAGGTCACAAGAGGTGTGACTGTTCCAGTATGTGTGCTGGGAACAGAACTCGCACACTTTCTGCAAAAGCACAAGCACTTTTAATTTCTGAGTTATCTCTCCAGCTCTCATTTATAGTGTTATTAAAAAATTAATGTCAAGACCATAACTGATTATTTCTCATAAATCAAAAAACCTCATTCTGTTATTGTTATGTGCCATATTTATATAATTAAATAAAACTGTAATATCTTAGTATGTTCCCATATTCTATCCTCATATCTGTTGTGATATATAGGCAGTAATGTTATTTTCATTCTCAGTCGTCAGAGAAGATTAGTAGGAATCCAGAATATTAAGTTGCTTGTCCTAGATGACAGAAAAAAATAGATTATCTAGATATATTAAATAGTTATTCAGTCTCTAAAATAAGACTGTTGTAAAATGGAAAATAAAAACTTCATTACATCATGTGAATAAGGAGAGACCTCTTCATCATACAAATAAGCACATGGAATGACAGTGCCCAGGTACCAAGACCTAGGGATGAAGTAGCTTCTGGGATGTGTTCTGGGAGAACAGTTAAATAAAAAGCTAAGAGAATATTGAGTGCAGTGGACCTTTTTCCAGGGACATGTCAGACATGGGTGGTGGAGAACGGTTGGTTTGTACACACCTGAATCTGATTTCCACAAATTCCCACCGCATCCTCAGGCTTGCTTACTTGTTTTTTCTCTTTCCCAGCATCACTGGGGGAAACACCCTGATGCTCTTTCCTCCCTTCCAGGTTCTGGCACCCGGATGAGCCCAACAATGACAAGGACAATGAAGAATGTGTTGTAGTAAATCATCGATATTCTGGTTGGGGCTGGAATGACGTCTCTTGTAGTAGTAAAGAGAACTCAGTTTGTCAGATGAAGAAAATACATTTATGAATTAAGCTCTCTCGGTGAAAATGGATTGCATTTTTGTCCAGCATTACACAGACAAAAGATCTGGGAAGATCTTCTTGTGGAAATGATGTCCATAGAAATTTAGGTAGGCAGCCAACAGTTATCCATAGGATTATACTGGTCCCCATGTATGCATTTTTTCATCCTTAACTCTTTATATAATGCGAATTTCCCATATTCTAGAGACTACATTATTCCTTTGTGCATCTGTGGTAGCATCCCAGTTTCTCCTCCCATTCTTAGATCCCTAGAGTCTTATTTGATGATAGAATTGTATGGTATGGACCCTCTACCCATTTTTCTCTCCCTTGTTCCCCTGTGTTTATATTTATTAATGTACAATTGACAAATAAAGTATATATATTTACATTACACTGTCTTGACTTGATATGAAAATGTATTGGGCAATGACTACCACAATCAGATTAACAATGCCCTCTATTACCTAACATAGTTGTCTGCTGTGTGTGTGTGTGTGTGTGTGTGTGTGTGTGTGTGGTGTTAGACCATTTAGATCTTCTTTAGCAAATTCAGACAGGGTGACATTGTTACCTATTGTCACTTTGATCCTCAGTGCTTACTCACACTTGCTCTGGCAGTTTGTGCCCTTCCATCAGCATTTTCTCATGTCCCCCAAACCTGCACTACCAGGAACCATTCAGGAACTTGGTCCCCATGGCTAGTGTGTCAGGTGCTGTGGGTGCCGTGAGGCTGATGTGGGCCTCTAATGGGTGGCTGATACTGGGCTGGGTGACTTTCCTCAAGAGCAAGTTTAAGAAGACGATAGCCAACCTTCTACTGGTACAGCCTGTTATTCTTGGTGTCCCACCTTGTGCCTGCTGCAATAGGGACAGCCTGTGTCCTGTGGATGGACATTGAGGAGAGCCACATGTCTCATGGAAGCCTGCATGCTGCTTAACACTTTGGAAGCCCTTTCAACTTCTTCCTATGAGTATTTTGAAACAAAAGTTGACTGGATGTTATCATCAATTGTTGACATTTTGAAAACTTGATACAGATATATATTTGTGTATTCATATATATGCAGGTGTTACTTGATAAGACACTTGAGAGCTAGTTTGATACATAACACTTCAGGCAATATTTTAGTATATATCATCTGAAATTGTCATTTCACCAAAAAACAATACCACTATCACTCTTAGAAAATTTAACAACTCTTTTCTGATATGATGTGTGATCTTGCCTGTATTTCTTCAGCCATCTTCAAAATGTTTCTTATGGCTGCTCTGGTAAGCCATAGTCAAAAACATTTCATTTCTAATTAAATTATTCTATAAGTTCAGGCCTTGCCTCCATGAGACTGTCCTCTTTTCAGACTTGAGCTTCAAGTTCAGGAGTTCTCAAGGATGCCATTACTTCAAGTCATCTGTCTGCAGAGTCCCAGTGTCTCAGGATACCTTCAGATTTATGAGCTGCTAGGACAACACACTGAGCTAATGATTCTGCTGTATTAGGATTATAGATTTGTTATGTAGAAAGATACACAACAGAAATGGGAGAGACATTTAGGCGAGGTCAGGGAGGGTCCTAAATAGGAAACTTCCATGGATCCCATGTATGCATCTCCTTCCCAGAATGTTAATGAGTGGCAGTATACAGAATAGGCCAACCAGGGGGCACTCACCTGAGCTCTGCTGTTCAGAGATTTATCAGGGTTCATTATATAAGTGAGAGTGTTTGGTTGATAAGAGAGTGAACTCAGATTTCAGCACCATTTCCCTGATACGGTGAGTACTTCATTGCTCAAAGACTTAACTTTTATTACATGGTCAGTGTTTCTGAAATGATGAATTCCCTACATGAATCATCTTGTTAGCATCAACTATGAAAGAACTAAGCAGCATAAGGCTTGTGGCCTACCATGATAAAAGAGACTTCCCAGTAGCTCCAGGAATTCCAAAGAATTAGAGAGGTCACCACCCATGACCTGGTTAAAAGTCTGGAGAAGATATTTCTTTAGCAGGTCAGGTGTAAAAAATGCATCCCAAGGATCTCACAATGACTAGAGGTTGCATGACCCAGCCACTGAGGATTTAATAGCTGACACTTCATTCTTCAACCCTTAACTTTCACCATTTGCTTTTAAAAAATATCCAGTTCTTCATAGAAATTCTCAATATTGATTTTATCTCATGGCACATATAACATACCTATTTCAAACCGTAAATTTGGAAGAAAGAAAAAGAAAAACAGCTCCTATATATTGAGCTCCATGCACTTACTACTTCTTTGGATTTTTCGATATATACATATCATATCTCTTGGTATTGTCATTGCATTCCATTAACTATGAACTGTTGCCTGAAATGCTTGATGGCCTGTTAACATTTTATCAGAGGGGAGTTACTTCTGCTCCCCAAGGCACCTGAGGACTACAGTGCTCTTCAGTCTCCTAAATCCATTTTTCACAAGCTTAGATGATTCAAGTAGAGCTGCTGGATCTGGAACTGCCCATCTGTTTCTGGTTGACCTTTATGTCTAGGCTGTAAAGATTCAATTCAATACTGGGACAAATAATAGTGATTAGTGAGGTTATTTGAGATCAAAATGATTGTTCTTTTCTTTAACAAAGGGTTTTAATATTTATAAAAATTAGAAAAAAGATTCATTTTGGGCATGGGTGCAAAATCAGCTCACACTATTTATATTAAGGAAGTAAATCTTTAAAAAGTACTGTTTGTAATTTTTGTTTTAAAATATTTATGAAAGAAAATCCATCAAAGAGTTCAGAGCTTACATTAGAACATGAAGAGGGTCTGTGGCCCCTGTCAACCTAGGCATAGCATCTTGACTGGTTTCAGCTTCCCACACCATGGCTACAATTTTCCAGCCCTCTGAGAAGGTCAAAGAAGGACAATCATGGTCACACATCACACTCTTCTTCCTCCTGTTATGTTAGGTCTGTCTTTTCTTCACCAATCCTCATACAAAGAGCAGGATAAATCTGTTTCAAAGTCCTGCAGAGGGATCGTGCATCAAGGACTCAGTTTTACATCTAGCTCCCTGGAAAGGCTAAAATGTTTTCCTTTCATCTGCACACCTGACTTGGACCTACCCTTGATTCTGCCTGTTCCCTGAGCTTTCCCTTTTTCCTTACCACTTTGTCATCTTTGATTTTATATTTTATCGGGGGCTTTTCTTCTGTTGGACTTTGTTCTATCACCTCATCACTTTATCAAGGTGATGTGCCAGCATAATCTATAAACACAGCACAGAAGGATGGAAGGAAGCGACAGTGGAGTTCAGGGTTCCCAGTGAGCCCAAGCAGACAGCACAGGCAGAGCTCACACAGATGAGGAAAAACAAAGGAAGCCTTAAGCTACTTCTCTGGTGCAGCTGAGGGGAGCATTTTTTCTCTCTCTGCACAATCAGATGATACAGTCCTTCAGTGTGCATCTCCTCGTCCATGAGGAAGGAACTGGAAACACATGGTAATGTGTTATAACCACTTCCCCGTTCCCTCTTTATGACTAAATCACCCATGCATGCACTCAAGAAAGCCCTGGCTGAACTGATCTGACCTTTAAAAACTTGTTTCTTAATGTCTGTTTCAAAACTTTAAGACACCAAAGAAAGAAGTAGAGAAAGAAACCAGAAGATAGAAAGATCTCTCCTGCTTGAGGATTAGCAGGATTAATGTTGTGAAAATGACCAGCCTGTCAAGAGCAATCTACGGGTCAATGTGTTAATATTTTAACTGTGTTAATATTTTAACACAGTTTTCTAGGAAGTTGAATAAATGATATTAACTTTCATCTGCAGATACAAAAGACCCAGGATAGCCGAAACAATCTTGAACATCAACGATAAAAACCAAACCAAACCAAACCCTACAGGAGACATCACTGTCCAAGATTTAAAGTTATACCAGAGTGCTACAGTAATAAAGACATTATAATACTGGAATAAAAACAGACTAAAAAAGCCACCTCAGTTCTGACAAAGAGGCCAACAATGCAGGTTGGAGAAAGGACAACATCTCTAACACACGGAGCTGATCACACTGGACAGCTACATGCAAAAAAACAAAACTAGATCCTTATTACTGATCCTGCACAAAACTCAAATGCAAGTGGATCAAGGACTTTAACATAAGACTTCAGACCCTGAGTCTGATGGGGCAGAAAGTAGGGGATATGCTTGACTTCAATGGCACAGGAAAAGACTTTGTGAACCACTCCAGTGGTCCAGGCATCAGACCAACAATTAATAAATGGGACCTCATGAAACCAAAGGCTTCTGAACAGGAAAGACTGTCCATGAATGAGAAAAAAATTCTCTACCAGCTGCACATCTGACAGAGTTACTATCTAGAATATACAAAGAGCATTAGAAAAAGGAAAGTACTCCCCCAAAAGGAAGGAAATGAACAACTCAATAAAAAGAAAGAAAACAACTTAAAAATCCTTAGCCACACAATTTAAAAATTCTTTGAGATTTTTATCTCACCCAAGTCAGAGTGATTAATGCAAAACAAAACAAAAACAACAACAATGAATCCCAGCAGAAACAAATGCTGAGTTGGATGTGGGAAAGGGGAACACTTATTCACTGCCAGCCGGAGTGCAAACTGGAGTAATGACTGTAAATATCAGTGTGGAGTTCCTTAGAAAGCTAAAAATAATGTCTGCCACACGAAAGCTATACCTCTTTTGGGCATTTACCCAAAGGAATCCATATCCTAATCTAGAGACACATGCTCATCCATGTTCATTGATGCTCTGCTCACAGTAGCCTGGAGAAGGAAAAAGCCTAGATGTCCATCAGCTGATGAATGAATAATGAAAAAATATATTTACACAATAGAATATTATTTAGCTGTTAAGAAAGATGAAATTATGTAATTTTCAGGTAAATGAATGGGCAGAAAACATTCATTCTGAATGAGGTAATCCAGAAACAGAAAGACAAATGTTGCATATTTTTTTCTCAGTTGTAGATGTTAGCTTTGAATCTTC